TAATGCTCTCGGGCTTGCTTTAGAATAGTTTCCCTTGTACTTTGTAAAAGACGTAAGGCAAAAGTTGACAAAGATTGTAAATCGCCCCTGATGGTGATAAGAAAATAAACTTTTTAATCCCGGTCAAAACCTTTCATGAGAAGATCCTGACTCTATTGGTTGCGTGTTTCTGGTAGGTCTCAGCTAAAATCTACAGACGTACGCGCCTTATGAATTCCTGCTTAATTGATTTCGTTAATTAATAAATAAAATATTATTTGTTACAACCACAGAGAGACTTAACACATCCACAGTCACCCATGTGTCCTGTTTCAAATTTGTTTTCGTGAAAATGCCGTTTAATGAAGTGGACGACGACTCACTCGCCGAGATTAAAAAGTGACGATTAACAAACAGGAGATCTAAATCTTCAGTCGGTTCCAATATTTTTTTAAAAACTTTATTTGTTGTTTTCAGCTCCCCAACGTTGCCTAATGCAACCCCCCACCTCTCCACAGGAACAGGACCTCAATCGAATTTGATTTAAAAACACGAAACATTTGATGAAATCAGAGCGGAGTATTTCAAGCGCTCTTCAGATTCAGAAGAACTTTAAAAAGTGCAGTCATAGTCCACCCTAGCTACACCCTACAGTCTTAATTTTGTAACTCCCGTGAGTAATTTAGGGTAAAAAAACTTAATTAGCAGAGTATCTCTGAAAACCGGGAGTTTAATCTCACCCAAGTCACCGCGTCTTCAAAGCTCCCGGCACCAGTGGACACAACGAAACCGAACCAGAGGAAACGGTTTCATAGTCTCCCGCGCTCTTACCGTTGAAGAAAATACGAAGGTGTTAAAAAAGTTCTACTTCCAGAATATAACGATACACAGATGCAACTGGCTGAATGTGTTTAATATTTACGTGCTGCTTATAATTTTATTTTCGCGTTATTTCGTATGGTTTTGTTTTTCTGTCACATGTTTTAAAAATGTCTTGGTTTTCGTTCAATCACACAAAAAATGGGCATTCGGAATGAACTCCAAACACAGCGATTCGGTGAGAAATAAAGTCTCTCCAGTGCCAGAATGCCCCGTTGATCAGGCGATGTGTGCTTGCAACTTCAGGTGGCGTGTCGAGAATGAACAGCGATAAAATATTATCACATCATCCATTCGCGTTGCCTGTTCCGAACCGAATTTTAGTACAACGCTAACTCGCATTATATACAGGTGGACGACATTTATGTGATATACGTCTCTGGGTAGGAGCATCTGAAAATAATTTGGATTGGACCTAATCTGTGATCGCGCAGGGTCAACACAAGTTTTTCGTTTCGGTCCAGCACACAGAAACGATCCCCCTGATGTGAGCTGTTCAGTTCGACGCCGAAAGAGAATTTGGGTTCTTGAAAGTCGAATTGTTTTGTTCGATTCAGATTCTGATGGCCTCTTCTTTCTGGCTCCGAGTCGGAGATGAGATGAATGCAAATTACGCTCTTTACTTACAGGGACTTGTGCAGAGACTTAGCGCGGACAGGAGGCGATTTGTGAGATCAAGTCGATTGGGTTTCACCGGTTAAAGTTCTTCCCGCAGCGCGGCGATACGGTGAAGTTGAGTGGAGCTCGGAACCGCTCAGTTTTAAAACCAGACAAGAATATCTTTGAAAACTGGTCGGCTGAATATAGATGGTGAATATATGAGTTGTTATATATCACACGTAAACGAAAATGAAAGAATATCGAGAGTTAAGCAGATAAAAGTCACGAAAAGGTGATAAAAACATTTTTTAATAGGGGACCGAGAAAAAGGCGATCCAGAAATTTAATGTAAAGAGCGCAGATTACTACTTAAAATCAAGCCCAGACACACACAATACATACTGTAAGTTTTACTGAACTTCCACAAGCTTTATTTGCTGATCGTGACAGATTCCTTTAAATTGGACAGATCAATTTTAAAACAACTTTGTAGAGAACGATAAAAATAAAAATAAAGTACTCGTCGTTTGCCAATCAAACCTTCGTCGAGCACGCCCTACAGGAGAACAAAAGATAAAGAGTTTTTTGTTTGTTTGTTTAAATAAAAACAAAACATTCCCAGCAAGAGGAAAGCCGGCGGGTGTTTTTCAAGGTGCGCGGCAGGTGAGGTGTGAACTCGAGATTGGAGCCTTTACCCCGTGTAGCAACACTCGGGGTAATGGACTGGAAACACGAAGGACCAGAAACCGCAAATTATGAGTCAGCCGTGCTTGGCGAGCCCTCGGCTGAGAAGAAATACGCCCCCGCATCATTTCCAACCGGAAATACCCGTATCATTTCATCTTTGAGTTATATTCCAGTCATTATAATTATCCCGTAATTATATTCCGGCGGAGGCTGAGACGCTTCGCCGCTGCACTTCCGCGCTCACACCCTCTCCCGCCCCGGTGGGACTCGTGTAAACACGCAACACGCAACACGCACCGGGCACACGGTCAGGAGAAAAACTCGGGACCAAGAGAAATTGATTCCCTTGTCGTGTCACTCAGAGATCAGCATCTAAAACATAAAACCAATTGCAGAGCAGGGAGAAACGGGATGTGTGTGCTTGAGGGGGTCTCGTCTGGGCCCCTCTCCTTAATGACAACCTGCAGTTCAGTTACCATCTACAGACTATATTTCTCACGAGTCATTTTATACCTCCTAGATATGCTTAGCAGTCCTTACTCCTGAAAGTCCATGCTTCAAAACGCGGTACTGGAATATGGAGAGTCGGGCAGACCTATTTACTAAGACGCAGGAAAATATGACGCATGTGGTCTAAAGAAGATTTAAAGAAGGCTCCACAGCCGAAACGTTGTGTTTCTTCTCTTTTCAGCAGGAAATAAACCTATTACTTGTTCCTTTGCAGCCGATGCACGCTGGCGGAGCTACCTACTTGAACTACAACGATTTAAATCCAGCCGCCTGTTAAAAGACAAACAGGACTGTTATTGAAACCCGTGTCCTTATTTCTAAGCCCATTAATGTTCCTAATGGAGCAGAACTAAAGTGTTTTTCTCCTG